CAGTCAAAGGATGTCCTGTTGGATCTACTTTTTCCCTCTGTATTTCTTGTAAATGTATTGTGAGGATGTAAGTTTGTTTCATTTTTCTTATCAGTAAGTGTTGATACCACCTCTTCCTGGTGATTTCTAGTTTTCTAAGGCTCTGTACATCTTGATCTAATTGCACTTCTCTTCAGTTAATCACACCACTCTATCTACATGCTGTTTCTTCAGTCCATGTTACTGATGGATGACATAGTACCTTTCCACAGAACCATCCAAAAATTACGCTTTGTATCATGGTAATCATTCCTTTGCTCTGAGTATCTACAGAACATCCTCTGGTCATTTTCCAACAGTTTATTATTGGTAATAATGTGTTCCTCTGTACATGTCTTTGGCTGTGTCAGCTGCACTACAACTTCAGATTTTACTTCTGCAGTGTTATGAGATTTGGCATTATTTCTTGCAGTTCCTGATTCTTCAATATTTCCTTCTTCATTTTGCCTTATGGATTTACCCTTTCATTCTCTGGATCTTAGAACTCATTTGGGTCTTTACCAATGCTTTCTTTGTTGGACGGAAATTTCTCTTTTCTGCCATTAGTGCCCAGTTCCACCTCTTTGATGCTGTTGTTTATGTGCCAGGAGTGTGGCCACCTCTACACAATAAGCAAAAAAAATCTGTATCATCAAATGTGTTTCTCGTCTGAACTGAAGCTCTGTTATTCTGGAACCTCTTAGAATGGGCAAAGATGGTAGGAGTAAGCTGTAAAGAAAGCTACATTTTTAAATGAAAGTTTGCATAAACTGACAAAAAAAGAATGTCTAAAATACCAAAAGGAAAAAAAAAAAGGTTAAGTTCACTAACATATAACCAAGAATTTCATTAGTCAGAGCAGAAAAGAAGGGAGAGCTTAGATGTTCTTTGAGGGAAGAAGCAAAAGGATTTAGCAGAAGCTGCAATATAATAAGCAAATGAAATGAAGCTTGCAAGTATAAGGACTGAAATGGATTATGTAATTACTTCCTGTGATGTCTGAAAAAAAGGGAATGAGATCAGTTCTGTTGTCTGTCAATTTAAGTCAATATTTGGTCATTCAGGACATTATTACCTACTAGATCAGTTTAACAATCCTGAAGCAAATAAAGCTAATATACTAAATTGTAAGAGACTGAGGGAATGTGTCAGAAAGAGTTCCTATGCATGCCTCATTGGATAAGAACAGTAAAAAGGAAAACATTCATTAGTCCTAGCAGTGCAGCTTGGGTTTGCTTTTGGAAGAATCTTGTGCTCCAGTAAGGCCATGGCATGGTAGTCTTTGGAAATCCAGTTATAGGGATACTATCAGTGGAGAAAAGGAACAAAAAATTTAGGAAACAAATTAAGGCAATTAAATACTCTTCAGGGAAAGTAGCAGGTGCCTTTGCTATCTTTGATCAGTTCTTGTGGCTCCCTTTAGAAAGGGTAGAGTGAATTTGCTCAGAGTTAAAACCCAATGGACTAGGTTAGGGACAGATGGTATTGAAACCAATTATTTGCTGACATTCAGAGTTCTGGATTGTGCTTTCTCTTGATACATTGCGAATCCAGAGAAAATTCAGGCTGTCACACAGAGGCCTTCATTTCTCAGTTATTAGCCTTTGGCAATGACTTTAGAACCAACAACTTTCAAAACAGGGCAGCTATTTTACCCCATGATATATGCTACTTCTTTTGTTGTTGTGTTCTTGTAATGCTTCCTCTCACCAGTCAAATAACTGACTCAATGTCCACCCAAAAGCCTATAAACAAAACAAGTCACCCTTGCATGCTTTATCAGACTGCAGTTTGACACAGGTGATGGAAAAGCAAAATAAACCTTCCTCCTGACCTAAAAATGTCTTCATTTTTCTGACTCCAAAGGCAGAGGCAGAATAAGAATTCTGCTTTCATGACCCCGTTTGCTTCTGGGTCTTGCCTCACAAGTAACAGAGAGATTAGTGGTAAAATTATTAGGTCCAGTCAGTCCATGTGAGTGAAGAGACATGCAAGAATAAATGTCAGCCTGTCACACACAGAGGTTTATAATGAAAATGATCCTTGCAGCTTGAAAAACAGCTTGCTAGGGAATAGACATGGAGACATTCCAAACATACTGCACTTTATTGGAGGTTGGCTTTTAACCCAAGTAGCAATGTTTTTTCTTTCCTTAAATAGTTTCTATAGTATTAATTTCGCCTTACCTCTACTACAGCTATGACTACATTAGCAAGTATTGCATGGGAATAGGAGTTCATCTGAGGACCCTAGACCTGCATTAGATGTTTTATTGAGGCATTTACTTTGGTCTAACTCTAGTCTGGGCCTGTAGGCTGAACATCCATTAGCGGTTGGAGTACGTTAGAGTCCTGAAGCATACCTTTTGGGTTAGTTTAATTTGAAGCTAAGCCAGTTTGCGTGCCTGGAGTCTACTTTTCAGTGCATGTTTTTTGCTACCAAAAAAAAATTCAGGGTCTGAACTGAAACACTAATGTAGATGCTTTTGTAAGGTGTCTCTGGTTTACTTACCAACCCTATCAGATATGGTGTAGCTCTACAGCTTCAGTTATTTCCTATATATTTCACTGCCTGCTTCCCTGCTTCCTTGTATACAACAGGGAAGTGGTCCTTGACACCACTTGAAAAGAGTTTTGGCTTGGACATGCCTTGAGCTTGTCTTTCTTCTTCAGGCCTTTTGTTTAGACCATCTCACAGAATAATGGACTTCCCATTTCTGCTGACAAAGAGTATAGCAAGTAACTGAGTCTAATTGAAAATAATAGCATTTACTGAAAATGATAGGCAGTTACTAGTACAGTAACTTGATCACTGATCATTAAATGCCATGAGTTCAGCAACTGCTTTTCTGCTGAATATCCTATAAAGTATGTGGTGACAAAGGTGTTGGTGACCTAAGGACAGCTAAGAAATGTGCATAGAGGAATCTGACACAGTAGAGATATGCACTGCAATATCATGTAGGCAAAGCTATTAAGATTATGATTTTAGTTCTTCCTTTCTTAAATCACCTTGTTTTATGTTACATGACAGCTGTTTGCATAATGAAAAGGAGATGTTGTAAGTGGGCTTTATGGAATTAGTATATTAATCTCAGAAGGGCTATTTTCGTTAGTGAGTTTTGACTTTTGAGGTTTTTTTCTATCAGTTGGTATCCATCTCTTTATGTCATAATAAATACAGCACTGGAAGTAAGTCATCTGATTGTTTGATAAGAATTCTAATGCAAAACCAGTCAATCATTCCTCAGAGCCAATATTTAAAACTAATATTAACAGCAAGATTTCCAGGAAAGGCACTATGTTACACCTAGTAAATCTCACTGCAGAGCAGGATTGATTTGTATATAATAAGGTAGGAAGTATGTAGTTTTTTTCAGTTTTCATACCTGATTATGCTTGCTGCTCCAGGCTGAATGCTGTGAACATACGTAGGATGGATTGACAAATTTCTGCATTATTGGTTCACTCAATTATTCAAAACATCCCGGGTATTTTTGTAGGTACAAGAAAACAAATCAGAATAATGTTTAAATTCTGAGAATTCACTAGTTAAACAAATTGTATGATTGTCAGTACAGTAATATTTTAGAATATTTATTTAATCTTCTCTTTGTAGATTCATAAAGATCAATATTTTGGAAAATAACCTCTTTAACAACATCTTTCATACATTTTTTCCTCAAACAGGAGAAATTCTTCCTCTGAATGATCCCCAGAAGGAACATATGCTTTGTAGACTAGAAAAGAGTGTATTTCTTATTTAAAGGATAAAATGCATAGACTATATTCTGTATAATTCCTTTCTTATTAGTGGCATGCACTAGACTTCTAAGTATTCTGGGGAAAAAAAATCAATTTTTTTTTTGCTTTTTTGGCAAGAGGGAGAATTATCAATTCCTGTGAAACTTTCAGAAAGAGGAAGCTTTCCCTGGATTTTGTATGAAAAGACTCAGAATACTTCATTGTGTAAATTATCCAAAAAGAGTTTATTGTCTCAGCTCTAGTCTTGTGATAGCTGATTTTAGTGGTTTTTTTCTCTTTTACAGGAAGAAACACATTAACTCAGTCTGTAAAATGAACTGTCACACTGCAAAGCATTAGCATAATTGGCTGGCACCTGTTTCTTAGATATTCTGTCTGATAAACTCATGGGTCCTTGTGATTAAAATATGATGAATAAACCTGCTGATAGCAGTTTCCCAAGGAGAATACCATGTAAAGTTGAAAAAGAGTATTTTATTGGGCTTGGAGTTGAACCTTGAGAATTGGAAACTGTCAAAGCACTTACTCATTTATACTAGCAATTATAACTACTCAACAGCTATATTATATTCATCTTGCAGAAACTTGCTATTCAGTGTAATAATAATAATATCTTTAGCAATGTTTACTATGTGTATATAATGTATAGTATACTTAATAATGTATACAATGAGATATAAGAGTATACCTGAAAAAACACAAAGCAAAATCCAGTGGACTTCTGGCCTTGATGAAATAGCACACATTATACCAAATCTTGTGGCTTCTACTTGGCTGCAGTAGAATTCCAATGACATTCTGCTCTTTGAAAGAATAAACTTTCTAACACTTTCTTCATCTTTTGTTAGTAAGCTCAAAATAAGGTCTTAAATTATTTTAGCAAACTGATCCTATGGGTCAGCTCTTTTATGGTAAATTAATGGCCATATGGGTATCTGGATTTAGGATCTTACTGTACTGTTTGAGATCTCTCTTTGGTTCCAGAGTCTCCTTGCAGAATTTTACCTCCAGAGGGAAGGAGTGACTATGGCAAAGATCAGGGTTCAGGCTGCTTCAGTGTGAAAGATGATGCATGTGGCTGAGTGGTAGCGAGTATAGAAAGAAGGCCATTGGCTTTCTGAAAGCTGAGTCATAGGGGGGAAAAACACTTGAAAGTCTTAAAAATCAAGAATTCTGGTACTATGTGAGGTATAGGCACCGTGATTTCTGCAGGTACCACTAAATCCTCTCTCATGCACTGTTGTATACAATGATCTTTGATATACATGGAACATACAGTGTATGTCTGAAGTATATTGTATATGTATCATATGCTAAAGTGAGACAGGGAATGCTTTTGCTACTGTTGCTGTGACATGTCCTTAAGTAACATAGACAACTAATTCTGTTTTGAAAATGTTGTCTGTTGAATATGAGTGAAACTGTTATCCTTAAGAAGGCCAAAAGCTTCTACCTACAAAATGGTGCACATAATGGTGTAACAGAATTCTGTGGCATCTATTATTCCTGGCAATCTTGCCTCTCTAGTAATGCATCCATGAGCACCTTGTCTTATGAGTGAGTCATGTGCTAGTGGAGGTAGCAGCTTTTATATATCATTGTGCTTGTTAAGTCAAGCTCCATTTGTAGAATTATTTCAAATCAGCAGTGCAAGAGGAGGTGAGAAAGTTCATGTAGCACAATTTGGAAATATAAAGAAGTTGCCTTCAAACATGCTTTTGTATAGCGTGTGGGGTCTTTTAAGATCTAAGACCCTGCAGCCTAACACAAGGACAGAAGGAATTTCTGTGTCCCTTCAAAAAGAGGGAACTTTCCCTCCTTAGAATGATGGAGGAGCTCCTTTTGGTAAACTAATGAGTCACAGTGTGCTAAACCTTACAGTTGGCATAGGACTTGAATGGCCATCTGTTGCATAAAAGTTTCTTTTCTCAGGAATTATGCGATATGATTGAAAAAACATCCTTTTGCTCTCAAAAATTATTGCATGCGAAACAGGAGATTAGATTTTATAATCATTGCACTATTCTTGTTTAGGTGAAAGCCCAGCTTCAAAAGATGGGAGCTATTCAACCCATGAACATATTTCTCCGTCAAGAAATTGACCGCATGCAACATGTTGTATCAAGAGTTCGAACTACGCTGACTGATCTCAAATTGGCTATCGATGGTAAGTTACAATATTAAAAGTCATACTAATTAAGATGCAATATTTATTACTAATGGTTGCTTATACTATATAACTAAATAAATATTTCCCCTCTTTTCCTCCCTTTCTACCTCTTTGTCTTTTCTTCTCTCCCTCCCCCAGTTTTTCTCTTTTTTAGTCTCTCTGTATCATATGACCACTAATTCTAGCCCTTAAAGCCTCCTGAGTGCATCTCTAAGGACACTCCACCTTAATTTATTCTGTATGCGTGTGCTCCAATATTGCAGCTCATGTCCCACAGCACTACTACACTTCTGTGATTCTCCCTCGGATCTCTACAGAGCTCAGAGGAGCTGAATTGCGTGATTAGGTCCGCAGATCGTGTGCCAGAGTCATTTATGAAATTAAGCTGAGACATAATGATATAGAACAAGGTAGAAGTGTTGCTACTAAGTAATTGAGAGACAGGGCACTCAGGAGGCCAGGTGGTGAAGACTCTAATTTAAGGTGAGATTTGCAACATTCATGAAACCATTTATACCAAATAGGATGTCTCTAAATGGAAGCTGGTGTGGGAGTGCCAGTCAAAAGAGAGTGATAAAGTTCTTCTTTTAGCTGTCACAGGAGGTAGGCAACAGCACTCTGAATCTCTCAGAGACAGGAGTATTTGGCTGAAAGTGAGCAATGGTGAATGTAGTTAAAATAAATCAAGAGTACAGGTGACTAGAAGCAGATGGAAAATTTGACCAGAAAAAGAGTGAGGAAAAAGAAGGGATGATGATGTTACCATCTGCTTTTTGTTTTCACTTCCCATTTTGCTCATCTGGAAGAGTTGAAATGTCCAGGAAGGAAAGCATACTGTTGCTCAGCCAAGCTTCTTGAATTAACAATAAATGAAAATGAAGCAGGACACTGGTTAAGATCTCACTCAAATCTCTGTTCTCCAGCAGAGAGGCAGAAAATGTCTGAGACAGCAAACTGTCCCCACAGGGAGAAAGTCAAAGTGCCTCAAAACTAGTCCCTTCTGATACAGGTGGTGGCAGTACTGTGATCTGTCTTACCGGCATTTTCCAGTCTTTTGACAATAAGTCTTTCATGAAGTGAGGGTTTTTTAATTTGTTTTTTTGTTACATAAGAATCAAAAGGTATTTTTTTCCTATCATTTGTATGATACACTGAGGCAACAATGCACTCTTCAGACACATCATGCCTATAATCTGAATCTAGGAAACACATAAATGTGCCCAAGGCTAATTAGCTTCCATATCCTGTAATAACCTATGCAAAGATCAATCTGGAAGAAACAATTGTCCTCTGTTTCAATACTGAGCTGAAAGTTCTCTTTTATATGTGCATAGAGTCCCTTTTCAAGTAAATTAAAATAATGCTTTCCATCCAAGAAAGTATTAATCTTTCCTTGATTGTGGCAGATATATTTAAAGTCTCAAAATGTACAATGTTCTGCAGAGGGGTGGATGAGTAACATAATTTATTTGCACTTAGTATTCAGTTCCACAGTGGGCACAGTCCTCTACCAGGTGTTTAATCAAGTTAATGCTCTTAACTTTTGTGCAATCCTCTAAAACATTATAATTTTCTTAGGGACAGGCAAGTTAAATATAGTGAAAAATTGCTCTGAAAACAAAATCGGATGTATAGTTAACAATAACGATTAATGGCTTCTGGCAGATTGATGATACATCAAGTGCATGTGGTAGATTGTTAATTAGGGGATGGAAAGAACATTTAGGCACTCTCTCTTGCCTCAGCAAAGGGGAAACCCCCAAAATCTCTCATACCAGATTCTCCCCCAAAACTGGTCAACAGCAGTCTCAGATCATCTGAGGGGCTCCTTTTTCTTTACAATGAGGTAAACTGATCTGCCTGCTCAAACAGGACGTGTGAATTTTGACATTGCCCTGGTCACGCATCTGGCTCTGGCTTCATGAACCTGTTAAGGCCTGAGCACCCACTTACAACAGATCTAAATTTTCAAACAAATTTTGTGTTTAAGAATATAGCTCATCTTCACATTATGTCACGTAGCTTTGTGAAAGGAGGTCTGAATATTTGATTCTGCAGGTTGGATGTGAGTAGATGTACCTTGTCGTTTTGCTGTTGCTCACTGAGTTACATTTGAGTTAATATAGAGCCCTCTTCAGTGAGACCCCATGTGCAGCTGAACATGAGGGATGTTGAGGGAATTAACAGAGCCAGTTTTGCCCCTTTATCCAGAGGGCAAGATTAAGCAGTGTTTGGCTTTTGGGAGGGGTGAGGACGCTCAGCACATCTCCAACATGTTTGTTGGCAGCCATGTCCCACAAGCCTGCATCTCCGCCAATAAACTTTGCTGCCCAGCGGGATGCTTTTTTTGGATCAAGTTGTAATAATTAGATTGTAGCTGCACTTTGTACTCTCAGTTACGTCCCAACCCTTAGTTCTGTTTTAATTACTTATTGATTGCCCAGAATTTATTTCACACTTGGTATAATACAGTGCTTCACATAAATCAGAAAACAGCAGTGATGGTTGTCCTCTCAAGTGACCTAAATAGATGCTATGTTCCAAATAGAGAAATCTTTTTAGAGACAAGGAAAGAGCTGCTTTCTCATCTTTTCATTTGAGGAGCAGCAAGACATGGGGCTTGAACCAAAACTTCAGATCCTAATGGGTTATGAACATGAGATCTTGAGCCCCTGGCAGAAGGTGACGGTATTCTTTGTAGGGCAGTATATGAGCTATAGAGTTCCTGGGCACGTGCTTTATCTTCCTCCTGTGAAAGCATAGACACGTCTGGCACAGAATACTAATACCCTAGCTGTTTGTTGGAGTGGGCACTTCAAACCCCCTCTCCCACTAATGAAGATAGTGTCTTTAAATGCAGTAAAATATAATGACCCATGCAGTTATTCCTAGTCTCTTAGAGTTAGTTGGATTAGAGGGGAACTGAATGTGGCCTATCTGTGAGACTGGGGGGGTTTCTCTGTTTCTCCAAGCACTGAAGTAGGAAGTGGTAAGCGTTTTGATGGCATCCTGATGTGTCCTCTATCGGTGAGGAAAGTGAGAAGAGAGATTCTGTGGGAGTTATCTGTAGTCCCCCTTGAGTGGCTTCCATAAATCTCAGCAGTGGAGCATGCTTGTAGTAGCACTGAAAGTGGATGTTGAATCCTTGGCAATGGAAATAAGCACAGCTTTTAATTTGTTTTTATTTCCTGATTTTTTTTTAACCTACTTAACATTCTGTTTAAGGGCTTGTCATGCTTAACTCATTTATTTATGAGTATATATAGGTTCTACTTTGGTCATAAAACTGCATCCACTTGGCATTTGTTTCTGGTACCTTATAGCTTTGTGTTTTCAAACTAATCCTTTGGAACTGCCTACTTCATGAACAAGTGAAGGCCATAAAAGAAACCTTGGATTTGTTATCCTTTCATGTCGTATATGTACCACATGATCATAGAACTCCTGCTGCTATTTGTGCAGTACTTGCAGAGTTAGGAAAGAGAAGTCCTTTTCCTGTTAAAATATTTCCTGAGAATACAGCAATCTCTCTAAAAGCTTTTACATGACTTGTAGTGTGTAAAGATTTGCTTCCACATGCCCAGAGTTTTTGTTCCTTACATTTTTCTTAGTACTTGCAAGACAAGTAGCTATGGGAGCCATAAGCCATAAGACCAACATAGAAGGCAAAAGAAGTGGAATCAATACAAATATCTACTTCAGAAGTCATGATGTAGTTTGTCATGGAAAAGATCTACCAGGCTTAAGCAAACTTTCCACTGCAGCTATGATATGGCACCCCTCATGTTACAAACCTAGCATATTTTCATGCATGTAATGCACACCATACATAACCTACATGATAGGACTTTGAAGAAAAAATCACAGATTACTCTTATCGTACACTGAAAGAGAGGGCAATCAGAGCTTTTGGAATAATAGGATCAGGAACAAGGATGTTACTAAGGGGAGATGGGACTTTGCTATTTGCCCTCTTTTTACCCACACAGATGTATATCATGTGCATGTTCTTTAAATGACACATAGGTTATATGCATGAAAACTCACTAAAATGAATACAGTAGCATGTTTCAGGTATATGTTTATGCCAGGTTGAGAAGTGTGAGAAAATACAAGCGAGACTATTGAGACAGAAGGTATTGGAGAGTAAAATTATGCACTTTTGTATGTGTTTCTAATATTTTTTGAACTTTGTAATTCGGACAAAGCTGAATAATAACTGTTAATAACAAGGCCTTGAGGAATACTTGTGCATTTCACTAGTTTCTGTACATTTTCTGCTTGCCAATGTGATGCCCATCTACAAGAAGGGCCGGAAGGAGGATCTGGGGAACTACAGGCCTGTCAGCCTGACCTCAGTACCAGGGAAGATTATGGAGCGGTTTATCTTGAGTACACTCAACAGGCATGTGCAGGTCAACCAGGGGACCAGGCCCAGCCAGCATGGGTTCATGAAAGGCAGGTCCTACTTGACCAACCTTATCTCCTTCTATGACCTGGTGACCCGTCTAGTGGATGAGGGACAGTCTGTGGATGTCATCTACCTGGGCTTCAATAAAGCCTTTGACACTGCTTCCCACAGCATTCTCCTAGGGAAGCTGGCGGCTTATGGCCTAGGCAGGTGTACTCTTCACTGGGTAAAAAAATTGGCTGGGTGGCCGAGCCCAGAGGGTTGTGGTGAATGGAGTTAAGTCCAGTTGGCGACCAGTCACGAGCGGTGTTCCCCAGGGCTCTGTTTTGGGGCCAGTCTTGTTTAATATCTTTATCAATGATCTGGATGAGGGGATTGAGTGCGCTCTCAGTAAGTTTGCAGATGACACCAAACTGGGTGGGAGTGTTGATCTGCTCGAGGGTAGGATGGCCCTGCAGAGTGACCTGGACAGGCTGGATCGATGGGCCAAGTGCCGGGTCCTGCACTTCGGTCACAGCAACCCCATGCAACGCTCCAGGCTTGGGGAAGAGTGGCTGGAAAGCTGCATGGTGGAAAAGGACCTGGG